CATCCTTTTTTCCTTCGGTTTCTTCTCCCGTTTGTGATGATAAAGTTGCAGATTTTTTCTATCATCATTTTTTCCTTCGGTTTCTTCTCCCGTTTGTGATGATAAAGTTGCAGATTTTTTCTATTCATCATTTTTTCCTTCGGTTTTCTTCTCCCGTTTGTGATGATAAAGTTGCAGATTTTTTTCCTATCATCATTTTTTCCTTCGGTTTCTTCTCCCGTTTGTGATGATAAAGTTGCAAGATTTTTTTTCTATCATCATTTTTTCCTTCGGTTTCTTCTCCCGTTTGTGATGATAAAGTTGCAGATTTTTTTCTATCATCTTTTTTTCCTTCGGTTTCTTCTCCCGTTTGTGATGATAAAGTTGCAGATTTTTTTCTATCATCCTTTTTTCCTTCGGTTTCTTCTCCCGTTTGTGATGATAAAGTTGCAGATTTTTTTTCTATCATCCTTTTTTCCTTCGGTTTCTTCTCCCGTTTGTGATGATAAAGTTGCAGATTTTTTTTCTATCATCATTTTTTCTTCGGTTTCTTCTCCGTTTGTGATGATAAAGTTGCAGATTTTTTTTCTATCATCTTTTTTCCCTTCGGTTTTTCTTCTCCCGCTTGTGATGATAAAGTTGCAGATTTTTTTCTATCATCTTTTTTCCTCGGTTTCTTCTCTCCGTTTGTGATGATAAAGTTGCAGATTTTTTTCTATCATCCTTTTTTCCTTCGGGTTTCTTCTCCGTTTGTGATGATAAGTTTGCAGATTTTTTTCTATCATCATTTTTTCCTTCGGTTTCTTCTCCCGTTTGTGATGATAAAGTTGCAGATTTTTTTTCTATCATCCTTTTTTCCTTCGGTTTCATGATAAGTGCAGATTTTTTTTTCTATCATCCTTTTTTTTCCTTCGGTTTCTTCTCCTCGTTTGTGATGATAAAGTTGCAGATTTTTTTTCTAATCATCCTTTTTTTCCTCGGTTTCTTCTCCGTTTGTGGATGATAAAAGTTGCAGATTTTTTTTTCTATCATCATTTTTTCCTTCGGTTTCTTCTCCCGTTTGTGATGATAAAGTTGCAGATTTTTTTTATCATCCTTTTTTCCTTCGGTTTCTTCTCCCGTTTGTGATGATAAAGAGGACGAGTAGACATTCTGGTTCTTAAGGCAATGGCGAATCAGTCTTCTCTTCCATTCTTTAGCAATGTCTGCAGTACTTCAATCATCTTTTGTTCTTTTCTTTGCCGATGTCTTCTTTCGCATCGTTCTTTCTTCTTCTTCTTCTTCTTCTTCTTCTTCTTCCTCTTTTCTTCTTCTTCTTTCCGTGACTCGATCTCTTTCGGTTTTGTTCTACCTTGATGTGTTTGGTTGTTCAATCTTCTTTTGAATTGTTCTTCGGCTTGTTCTTGCCTATGATTTATTTTCATTTTTCGGCGACAGAAAAAAAGGAAAGACATATATGTTATACATACACATAGACGTGAATACACACAATCACACAGATGTACATGTATGTGTATATGTACATACATATACATACATGCATACATATATAGATATATAGATATATAGATAGATATATAGATAGATAGGTAGATAGATAGATAGATAGATAGATAGATAGATAGATAGATAGATAGATAGATAGATAGATAGATAGATATAGATAGATAGATAGATAGATAGAAAGATAATAGATGATAGATAGATAGATAAATGGATAGATAGATAGATAGATAGAAAGATAGATAGATATATAGATAGAGAGAGAGAGAGAGAGAGAGAGAGAGAGAGAGAGAGAGAGAGAGAGAGAGAGAGAGAGGAGAGAGAGAGAGAGAGAAAGAGAGAGAGAGAGAGAGACAGAGACAGAGAGCGAGAAGAGAGAGATGAATATGGATACAGATATATTTATTTCAATACGGTTCCGCACCTCTTTTTAAAACCCCATCTTCCCTTCACAATCTTCACTGCGGCAAGAGGAAGCCCCTTAGCATGTAAACCGCGGGCTTCCTCCCACGCCGAGGCCTCAGTTGGAATCCTTTAGTCGGAAGCCTCTGGTCGGAAGCCTCGTGAATCCTGGGATCAAAGAGCTTCTTATGGAAACACTAGCGACGTTCTAGAATAGTACTTCATAGTGTATTCTGTATAGATCTATAGTGTATATATCTGTATATACATATATATATCTGTATAGACTGTATAGTGTATAGATCGTTTTCATGTGAGCGGATGTCTCTCCCTTTGGTCGTGGAGTATCTTTGAAGTGCGTGTGTGTGTGTGTGCGTGTGTGTGTGTGTGTGTGTGTGGTGTGTGTGTGTGCTGTGTGTGTGTGTGTGTGTGTGTGTGTGTGTGTGTGTGTGTGTGTGTGTGTGTGTGTGTGTGTGTGTGCGTGTGTGTGTGTGTGTGTGGTGTGTGTGTGTTGTGTGTGTTGTGTGTTTTTGTAGGAGTTAGTAACGTGTGTTGTTTGTGAGTTTGTGTATATTAACAATGATATGTGTTTGTTTTGTTACGTTTTTTTTATTGGATATCACATAATATCAATCCAATAGCCTTTGATAAACATTATATCAAAAGAGCACATCATTGCATAG